CACCGGGATGTTGTCGGCGAGTATCGAGTGTCCTCTTCGCGACGGCGGATCGAATGTATGGTGTCCCAAAGACGTGTCGCAGCTGCTGCTGGAAGGTAGCCCAGTCGGGTAAGTCAACGACATGGATAAAATACCATGTCTTCGCGACTCCGATCAAAAAGGCACGTAATGCAGTTTGGAGGCCTCGTCCCACCTATTAGCGGCACCTACGCGGTCGTAGTCATCAAGCCAGTCTTCTACGTCTTCTCCCCGAAGACCAGCGAAGAGCGGGGGTTCCCGCTTATGTCCGTGTATGTAAGTAGGAGGGGCAGCTTCCGGCGGTGCGTGGTTGATGACGACATCAGTGTCGGCAGGTCGGTCTGGGGCATGCTGCCTGACTGTGGGCGCAAGCGGCGGCCTGAACGAAGCTCCAGGGGGTATAGTGGGCTGCGGGAGTTCAGAGGACCGAAAATCCACCTCCACCACGTATGAAGTCTTGGTAGTCTTGGCTGCGTCAGCGTTTATTTGAGGAAAGACCTCGCAAAATGAACGGGCAGAGCCAGTACACAGAAGACGACGATGATGATGACCCAGAGTGGCAATGAGGACAAAGAGGCAAGCTGATGATGGTGATTGTGATCATGCGGGGATGTTGACGATGTAAGTAACAAATGTCCACAATATATATATATATATATATATATATTGACGATATGTTGGGTTCAACGTCCCGAAACCACCATATGATTATGAGGGACGCCGTAGTGGAGGGCTCCGGAAATTTCGACCACCTGCGGTTCTTTAACGTGCACTCAAATCTGAGCACACGGGCCTACAACATTTCCGCCGTCATCGGAAAGCGGATTAGCAGCCGACTACCTCAGCCACTAAACCACCGCGGCGGGGCAAATATATATGTGTGTGTGCGGGGGGGTTAAAACGCAAGGAAGAAAAAAATCGTGACAAAATCTCCAATGCTCGGAATTGAACGCCGGACTTCCGTGTCGTGAATGCAAGGCGTAAACCACTGAGCCATCGAAAGGTACCTCCTTGAAAATTCGAACGGCAAGCTATTCATATCTACCACTTAACGCTGTTGGCGGGCGTATCGGAACAGGGGAACTATCGTGTTTTCAGCATTATCAGCAATATGGCGCAGTAGAGCGCAGCGACTCTCACCTCTCACGCGTACTTTGGTCTACGTATAGAATAGGTGGGTGTACGATCGGCCACGCGCCCTTATCTTGCAATCTGGAGAATAGTACCTCTTGGCTAGCCTTTGAGTTTCGTCGGAACAATTCTGCTGTAGGTTCCGGGCGCACAAAGGTCACAGCAATTGTTGCACAGCCTCTGTTTGCGAAAAGGGCACGCTTTTCAGACACAGTGAAGTAACAATTGAGACACTTATTTGCTATAATCTGTACCTGAGAGTACGTTTTGTGCGTCCTTTGTGCGTGAGAAACGCGGTGCACGTTTCAATCTGCTTGCCATTCTGTGCGTGGCCTTCCAATTTGTTGCTATTGTGTTCACTGCCTCACCTTTGCGGTAAAGCTGTGACGCTTTTGAGAAAGCTAAGCTTCTTTTCTCGTGCGGACAAAATCTACAAAGTAGTATTTCATACTGCGCAGCATTTGATCACCACAGTGAAACATTATGTGCCTAGCGAAACTGCATGAGGAATATTGGGCGCGCACTCCGTCGCCTCAGAGACCTTGTGGGGTTGGTTTGCATGTCCACTTCTTTGCAGGAAGAGAGCCGCGATGGTGATACAATCTCTGTTGAGAACCTCGACAGCGCAACCTCGACAGCGCAACCTCGACAACGTCACCTGCATCGTACAACGCCATGCCGTCAGTAAGACCACGGCGTTTGTCTAGCTGTATCTACATACTTGTAGGAACTGGAGAATACTCGCTTATTGAAATATCTAAACACCTGAACTGTGGTCTTCTGGTACAGACGACGTCTGATGCCCTAAGGAGTAGGCCACAGGCACATGCCACTTCCTTGTGGAAATGATACACCACAGACGTTGCTAGTAAGAACGTTTCAGTTTTTGGCCCTGATTATTGGGTCGCAACGAAAACAACTGCATAACTGCACTTCAACACATCCATTGCAAGTGGTAGTTCACGCTCTTGAGTCTCTTCGTTCGGCTAGGTTCTCGCCGGAAGCAGCGCGCAGGATCAGCGGCAGCAGCAGCGCGGCTGATAACGGAGTCACCACGCTGATGTCACACGCAAGGCTGCGCCACTCCACTATTTCGAGGCCAATTGGGGTGTGTGCTTTGTATATGAAATAGGTGTTCAAGAAAAGTGCTCGTTGCCGAGGAGACTGTTTCTTAGCTTTCTCGGGTAACCTTGCGCAGCAATACATTTCTATTGCATTTTCCATTGTGATTATTATAACATGGTTCAGGTATTGAAACCACGTCTTTTCTGCGCGACCTGTGCAACGCTGTACTGTATTGTTCGGCTCGCTTTTTTAGCCACAGGTATCCTTACACTATTCGTCATAGCTTCTGTCGTATTTTTTTTCGAAATAAACAACGCATGTAGTTGTGCATGAGCGGTGAGCCGCAGGCCAACAAAAATTGTATACGCGCGTTTTGACAGTATACGGAAAAGCGTCCCGAGTAACATGGTTTCAACTTTTTCACACAAAGATGTCCATTTTTGTGGGCAAACCGATTTTATTGAAGCACTGTCAAATATTTTGCACGAAATTATTTTATCGCAAGAAACAAAAATTTGGCAATTCTATTTCAAAAGTTATGAGTTGGTCACCTGAGGGGACCACCGTGCAGTAAGAGTCTACTGCAGTCACATTCGGTGAGAGTTCAGCTCTTCATTTCTATAGCACTTCGCGTTAAGTACTCATACAAAACGGTTTCCGGCCCTATAATCATAGCATAAACAGGAAACACTGATGTGTCTATGAAAATATTTTGGGCCCACCATCTATCTTGCCGTGAGGACGATGGCACCCGGAAGAAAGCAAACGTAACATGTCATATTGAATTCCAAACAAAGTAGCAACATCTCAATCAGATTGCAGAAAGCTTCAGTATATGCGCCATTTCGAATCCGACGCGCGGGGCTCACGTATTTTAAAAGTAAAAAATGAGTTCGAACCACCATGTTCGAAAGAGTTAACACACACTGCTTGATTATAATGCATTCTCGTCGTAATCTATAGTGCATATTGAGTGGGGACGTTTTGGTTTTCTTGTACGGCTTCTGTGTTCATTACCTTTTCTTTCAAGAATATCCTGTACTTTGCTTTCGAAAGCCTCTGAGGCGTGCATTATCATGCGCCGCGAAATGTTGCAAGAACCATACAAGCATATAATCGTCCGCGATCGTGAAATTATGAGTACGACGATCTACTGAACAAATAGCTTCATCGATGGTACGACCGCAGAACATCTACAGATCCGTAATTGAGCGCTCCATACACGCAACGCATGCTGATCGAGTGAAAGCAACAAAAAAAATTACACCATCTCTCATTAAACAAAACCATGTAGAACGCGAAGGAGCACTTGTGTTCACCTGTGTTTCCAATAGTTACTTTTATTTGTATGTTTCGGTGTATGTTGCATTTGTCCATGGAGTTGTGTATATCTTGCGTTCGATTTATGTTACCCCTTTTGCACTTGTGTGTATCACGGTGTGTGTGTCGCAAAGTGAACGCCCAGCGCTGTTAGGAAAGTGCAGTGAAGTGAGCGCTCGCAGCATTATATATGAGCGCACAGGCGTGACGGATATACAGGAAAGAAGGAACGAAGTAGAGGCACCACTCTGCCACCTCCCCTCACCTGCTCGCGCACATGCGTCAAGAGCGGGCGATCACCGAGCGACGGACACAATCCGAAGCAAAGGCTGCTTCACATCTAAATATTGAAGCGGAGGGTGCAAGGTGAAAGGTATAGCAGCGGAGGAGGCGTGTGGATTACGACCTTCGGCACACAGATAGTGGGCGCACACTGCCTTGCGAAGGTTCCAAGTCTTCACAAGGCAGTGAATTTCATGATCGGGTGTTGTGCGGCGGCACATTTTTGCCGCGGACGTGCGCAGCAGCAGCTGTGGCACTGCTTATGCACGTGTAAGTCAGTCCATGTTTCTGTCAATCTGCAACACCGACAAGCTATGTTTATGAACCATGCTCTCTCTCGCGCTCGCCATGCGAGCCTCATGTTTTGAAATACATATACAGTGATATATTCTTCTTTAGGTGCGTCTATTTTGCAGTCAAGCAATGAAATTGCCCCGATAATTAAGAGCTGAGGTTGTAGAGCACATTCTCGCGTGACAAGTCACTACCGAAGATGCGGATCTTGTTGACGATATAAGTGTGCTTCAGTATGCTGTTTTCTTCGTTCATGTAACTGATAAAGTGGATTAAAATTACTCCTACCTTGTTCTCGGCATTGACCGGGCTCCCTCGTTGCCTGAGCAGTGCACGTAGATTTGAGAAGTCATCGCAGAACGAATATAAACATCAGTCATTTGCACCGTAATAGCTGCGTTTTCTCCCCCAAACGGGTATGGCGGATGAAGCTTACGAGATAATTGACAGTTTGATCTGTGCATTTTGAGCGTTCACTATGCAGGGTGGAACAATGTACTCAGTTACACAGTGTTTGCTTAGAATAAAGTGAACTGCAATGCGTAATGTTCTTATGTATACTACTGTGTGTGATTTACAGCGTTAAGTTATTTTGATATATTGCACTGCCTTCAAACTGACAAAATTAAGAATGTCCGTGAAGATCCTTTATGTAGTAAACACAATTTCATGCACTCAGTAGTCTATGCCTCATAACAATCTTAGTATGTGAATTACGACAGTGCTCTATTCGTTGTTGCATTTGAAATTAGGCACGAATAACATTGCATGCCGTTTTATTTGTTAGTAACAGACTTTTTGAATAATAAAGACTTACTGTATTTTTGTTTCAAATAAACAAAAAAGAAGGTTCTCAGCTGACACACATTCTTTTTTGCTGTCTCTTTCAGCTGAAAACCCCTGCGCGGGTATAGACGAAGCATGCATCAATAAAGAAAAATGGTGCCTTGTCGATGCAAAAGGACAACCTACACTAAATTGCCGTAAGTCAACATTTAAATTAGGGGTATCTGTGACGACGTATCACTGAGAGCTTGAATTTTCGACTCATTCAAATGGACGCTAAAAATCAAAACTCTTTTTCATGTATCAGTAAACTACGATTTCAAGATCCCGAAAACACCACTCTTACGACGACATGACGCTTAGCAAGCGAGAAAACGCGTGAAAAGAAAAAACGAGGGGTGATGCCGCCTTGAGATTCCCGCCCGAAACGCCTTGACGTAAGAGATTTTGAATGATGTGTCAACCGATTCCTACGTAGTTCCAAATAGATAAAAATCAAATACATTTTCATCTGTTCGTGCCACAGACTTTCCCTACGTAGTTTCGAAAAATTGATCGAGGCAATGTAATACGAAAGCTACATTTTGCATTTTCTTACGTACCGACGAGATTTTGTCGTGAAGGTCAAAAATGATACTTTGACCTTGATTTTTTTCTGCTAATAATGAACCTATTATATTGAAACGTATGGCATTAGAGTGCTAAGGGGGCAGTTTCTCAATCTAAGTCAAGTCTTTCTTCCTCTTCAGCTTCCGTTTAAAAGGCCGTTCTTAGTGCAGCGCTGTTATTATTATTTGCTCAAAACAGTACAGTTTTGCGAACAATAACTCAGTGCACATCCCAGCCGACGAGAAAAGCAAATCGCGATAGTCACCTTGCTGTCGCCTTAGCTATACTTATGAGGTTTATCGTGGAATGTGTATGAAAATAAACGCTAGCTCCTAAGGGTGGGAGGTAGAAATTTTGAATTTGCCGGCAAGGTCCTGCGTTGGCTTGTGATATGTAATATCAGGATTTTTCTTTAGCGCAGGACCACTAACCAAAGAACTCAGTCGATCCACGATAGCATTAACACAAGCATTATTAAAAATAAAAATGAACTATTAGTGAGTATCACTTGGGTTAATCAAGTATATGCAGTCCGACCTGCGCTAATTGTCTTTTAAAGCAGAAACCACTCACCATGTACGAAGTCGTTGAGGGACGTCAATGTCGGTCACTCAGAGACGATGTGCAGTCTGGCTGGTTGACGTCTTTAACGCCCGTCAGCCCGTGCCATAGTGCAGATCTCTGCTGCAGTAGCTCGGCAGCGTGGACACCACGTTCATCCCGACCGCGCCGGGGTCCTCTTAGCGACTTGCAAGAAAGTCAGCAGCGGTGGTTCACCAGTAATGGAAAATGATCGATCGCCGTGAATGACAGCGAGAACAACGGCACCTCGCCTGGTCCCTCGGTCAGCTGCGCAGCGGGAATGCAGCCCTAGCTCATCGCGGTTGCCATAAAGCAGTCTGCAACGCCAGCCGGAACCCCTGCTCATCGCCTGGTCCCTGGGCCAGTTCCTAGCCGGGGTACAAGAATGGTAGCACCTGGAGGACATCGCTTAGTTCTCCGGACCAGACGTCCAGCCGAGAAGCACATGTCATTGGCCGCTTCAAGGTGTCGAACGTCGACACACACACCATAGGGTGCGTCGCACGCGCACGGATTTCGCTTTTCTCTTGGTCTTCCTCTCTCAGCAACCGTTGGTTTGTTTTTGACTCCTCTATTGTGACAATCGTGCTTCAAATAAGTAAAAATGAAGTAGTACTGTCGTCTGTGAGTGCATAATTTGGCATACTGCCTACGGCTGTGCAACTTTTATAGCAAACTCTACCAAACTTTGCAAACTATCTGTATGATGATCTTATTGAGCAATTTATGAATTTGTTCAAAAATATTAAGCCTTTCCAAAAATAAAGCAATTATTTTCATATCTTTATTTTTCAATGAATAGTTGTTAAAACATTTTTATTGCTGACTAGGTGAAAATTTTTGCTATTAAATGTGTCTAGGGGGTCTTCTTGAATCAAAATAACAATTATTTGCAGGAACAATCACTAGTTGAACTTTATAGCCTGAACTGTGAACTGTGGAGCAAAATAACTTTTTTTTTAAGTTTACCGCAATAAATAGCATCTTTTAAATGATTCCGCAGTTAAAGTATCTCGAGTACACCTTATACGTCGCGAATTCTCCCTATGCCACAGAAGCGAGGACCTCGCAATAAAAAATGTACTTCAGTACTACGTAACATGTTGTGCGCCACCTCTTCAGTGCCTACACACCAAATAAACAAAATTATTGAAAATAGAACTTACGTCACTAAGACGAGAAAAAACGAAGAAGTGAGAGCTGTTGCATGCGCTTCACGCTCTCCGACATCTGCTCCAAGACAATCGGTTGTAGCTTAAAACACCTCATACGAGAAAACGCTACATTTTTCATGCTGAAAATACATGCCCCGTGAGTTATTTGACAGCTGGCCTTAAAGATAGCACGCTTTTCGCGATTTACTTGCTCAAAGTTTTGAATGCAAAGCATTTTAAGGGGTGAAGCTCCTTATAGCGGCACTTGTTTGTCTCTCGTAGCCGTAGTCGTAGTCGTAGCGTGTAACCAGTCTTACATTTTGCACCTGCAATGTGGTGCCGGTAGGAGATTTCTTCGGTGATTTGTTGAACAATGAAACATTTGCAGCGTGCAAGTTAACTAAAAGCCGAATTCTCCTGTCTCTCATTCCCCATTAGCAGCCATTGGCATGTACCTTGAGCACTATCTGACAAGAAAGGGTTGCTACGTTATACTCGCTGGGCGTAACCTCCTTGTTTTTAGAAAGGTTTAGCGAACGTTGAGGCGCATCGCCATGAGTACAGTGAAGCAGTATATGCCATGAAGCTGAGAAGTAGACATGAAGCGCAAGCCGTAAGAAAGTGTGCGTGTGCCTCCTCTCATTCAGTCCTTGGAATGTCTGCTGGATGGCGGTGCTTCTATATCGGTAATATATGATGAAAAGATGCGAGATGGTGGTACTTGGAGTGTTGAATAGATGGACGAACGGACACACAGACAGATGCATGGACGGACTCACAGATGGCTGCACCAACGGATGGACGCACGGACGAACGCAGGGGCGGATGCATGGACGAACGCAGGGACGGACGCACAGATGGACGTGCGGACGTACGAACAAACGCACGCACGGATGGGCGAACGGACACACGGGTGGCCACACAGACGGACGCATGGACGGACGGAAGCAAGAATGAATAAACGGGCGGATGCTTCGCCCCATTCTCCATCGTTCACCCCGTAGATATGCTGCCATTTGTTGTGAACTTCGGCGACTTTGAGCGTATCTATCTATCTATCTGTCCATCTATCTATCTATCTATCTGTCTGTCTGTCTGTCTATCTAGCCGCCTACGACATTTAGCTCTCCTGACCGTTTCGATAATGGTATCGATACTAAACTTGGTATGCCATAACATGACTGAATGAAGAACGTATTTGAGTAGTCACAACATGAAAATCATCATATGTATTTCATGAGTGTCATGATTTACATTTCATAGTCCTGCCGCTCCTGCGGCAGTTTCATTCACATGGCTTGTTGAAAAACTGGTATGGTATGACATCATTGCATGGCGAACACAAGTGACAGACCCTAGCATGAAAATCATGACATGCGTGTCATGTAACAGCATAACTACATGTCATGCTTATGATGCACTTGTGGCCGTTTCGCTAGCGTCACATATACCAAACTTGGCATTACAGTACGTGAATGGATGACGAAGATATGTGACCGGTGCAAACATGATAATCGTGAGTTGTGTGTGAAGTAACAACATGACTACATGCCACGCTCATGATGCGCCAGCGGCCGTCTCGCTAGCTTCACTTATACCAAATTGAGTATTACGGTACTTGAATGGATGAAGAAGGTATGCGACTGGTGAAAACATCATAATCATGAGATGCGTGTAATGTACCAACATTACCACATGCTACGCTCATGATGTGTTCGTGGCCGTTTCGCTAGCTTCACTAGTACCAAACTCAGTATTACGCAAAGCGAACGGACGACAAAGGTAAATGATACATCCAAACATCAAAATTACGACATGCGTGTCATTTAACAACACTGAATACATGGCACACTGATGATATGCTCGCGGCCGTTTCGCTAGCTTGAAATATGCCAAATTTGGTGTTACGTGTCGTGAATGGACGACGAAGGCAAACGACACGTCCAAACCTAATAATGATGAGATGCGTGTCGTGTGAAAACTTGACTACATGCCACAATCAAGGCACCAATATAATTCGACGTGAGGTGGTGCATGGTTCGCTGGCGTTCATTTCGTCGCGTCACGCTGGCGTTGCCATGCCAGGCGCCGGTCCTGCCATATACTCGCAGGCGCGCGCCGTGCTGCGTTGCTTTGACGCATGCGCGTTTTGGTGCTTCCGGCGTCCCTCAGTCACGAATAGAGGGAGATGCAGTGTTGTCTGGCTAACGCATCGGCACGAAATGCCGCATGTCACATTTCGCACTAGTTGCCGTCGGGCCACGCCGACGGACGCTGGTCGCACCAGGTGTCTGACTATACACCAGAACACAGCAAGCTCAGTGCTTACTGCCATATTGAAAAGCGCGTGGCGCCGTCTGTTGCAAGCGCAGCAAAGCAACACTCTCAACTACCAGGCGCTCAAGTAGACGCTCTGTAAATCAAACGCAAAACTGCACAACTCGAGTCTGAATGTAAGCATGTTTCGCGCTGTTCCTGTCCCTAAAGTTTATGCTGATTTCGTGTGAAATGTCAAGGAGACCTTCCTCAACAGTCCAGAATTCCTGCAGCACGTCCATTTCCGACTACGGAAGCAGCTTCATCAGTTACGTACTATGGTGACTGAAAGAAACGCGAACAGCGGAAAGCGTTGCTTTCGACTCTTTCTAACTGCGGCATGTCTTGGCTATGACAAGGCAGAATTTGTGATGTAAGCCGGCGTCAGCGTAGCGCTAGATTCCGGTTTCAACTTACACTCATGCACCACATGTGTATCAATTGCCAGTCCTGCCGGGCACTCGGAACACATACGCGCTGCAAAAGTTCCAGCTAGAACAAGATGCTGCGGCTATGCCGGCCGAAAGCACGTGT